ACAAGCACATCTGTTTTGGATTTCTTGTTTCCGAATTTCTTGTTTTTTGCTAGTCTTGCCATCTGCACTGTGCTGCCTGCAATTTGCTCATCCTACCACCTTGTCACCCTGCACACACTGACCTTCATCCATTTTTGAAGAGACCATTACAGGATCTAAGAGTTTTGGATAACTATCATTTGGCCTCCAACCATTTTGGAGAAGGTTGTTAAGACAATTATGCCAGACAAACTTCACAGAACAAGAGGGTTATTTGGATCTTTTTCAGGCAGGCTTCAGACCCAGATGTGGGACAGTGGAACTATAAGTGAGTCCCTTGGTGGCTTGGGTTGGGACCTGGATCAGAGCTTCTTCATCCTTTTGGATCTCTTGGTGACTTTTGATACCATCAACAATGATAATTTACTGAACCACATATGGGAATGAAGACCCTGTTTGTAGTGGTTCTGCTTCTTTCTCCATCCGTGGTTTTAGGCATTTTTTAGGTATTTTATGGATGGCTATGAGAGGTTAGCCCAATAGATATGTGGGGGTGCCACAGGTCCTGATCCTCCTTCCCAGTGCTTTAACATCTATGTGAAACCTCTGGGCAAGATCATCCAGCTGTTTTGAGATGCTCATATTAGCTAACTTAACCATAGGGAGATTTTCCTGATGCCCTGTGAGTGCTTGAAGGCTGTAAAGATCTAGATGGGAGAGGAGGCATTGAAGCTGGATCCAACTAGGACAGAATTCACGTTCCATTACTGTAGGTGTTGTCTGTCAATGCCAGTGTTACTGTTGCATAGGCAAGCATTGTCATAAAGGAACAGCTTTGGAATCGGGGGTCCTTCAAGGCTTCTGTGTGATGGATTTTATCTATAAAGGGAGGTGATGTGTTGGACTGCAGTGAAAAGCAGTTTCCAGCAAGGAGGAAACACATTCCAAGGAATCAGGCAAGACGAGAGATAACACAGGCTGGAGCTGAATCAGAGAAAGAGATTCAGGGAGATAGCCACTCCTAGAATTTTCCAAAGTATATCTGTTACGGTTGGACTACTGTAGTATTGCATTTGTAGAAGGCTGCATGATATAAGAAAATAAAAGAGTTTTTTTTTTAAATTCTGCATGGTATAAGTAAATAGAAGAAATAAACTTTGGCTGGGTTGTTCGGTGTTATTCTTGGGCTGGGCCTGACAAAAGAGTAGAATATGTGGCTAAAGGATTTTGCCATCTTTCGCTGAAGTGCCAATTGTCATCCTATCTCAGTGGTTCCCAAACTTGACAACTTTAAGACTTGTGGACTTCAACTCCCAGAATTCTCCAGCAAGCTCTGCTGGCTGGAGAATTCTGGGAGTTGAAGTCCACAAGTCTTAAAGTTGCCAAGTTTGGGAACCACTGTCCTATCTGGTTCAAAAAGACCTAGCTATAGGTACAGTAACTCATGCTCTCATTACCTCCTAATTGTGACTACTGCAATGTGTTTTTACATGGAGCTTACAGAATTCAGGAACTGCAAATAGTCCAGGTTTTTATTGCTTCTCTACTCATTGGCTCCTGAAGTTGGAAGCACGCAAAACTGACTTGTGGGTCCTTCATTGGTGGCCAGTTGGTGCCCGGATATAAATTAAGGTTCTAGTCTTGACCTATAAACTCTCCATGACTTGGCAACTGGATACTTGCAGGACTGCCTGCTCCAGCCAGAATTGGCCGAGTCACTGGAAAGAGCAACTTCTTGTAGCCTCCATCTCTCCGGAAGCCAGAGAGGTTGGGCTAAAATGTAGCTCTGGGATGGTCTTATGGAGATCAGACTGGGAAATGACTGGAAAATGGAATTTTCCAGAGGGCATTATGCCACCTTGTTTTTTTCCTTGTTCATTGGGGTTTTCTGATGCCATTATTTGTTGAAACCATAACACCCAATTTGCACCCAATTTTGTCTGAATGCAGCAAAATATAAGTCTAATCAATAAGAAAATTGGGTCCATTAGGGTTCAGTCAACATGGCAAGCCATTACAGACTAAATTTATAGATCAACAAGTCCTATTTTTTGCTAAAACCATCACGCAGCTCAAGGTGCTAAAACATCCACAGGCGTTGTGCCTAATTTATTTGGCTTCCATGTAATTTATTTTCGTTGTTCACTTAACAGGAGCTTGTGCGCATAGAAACATAACAGCATTTGAGGAGCTGTCAAAATATTTCCCCCAGCATTTATTTCATTAAACCAAAGCAGCAGATTGATAGTCCTGGAACGGATTATGATTCATTATGATCTTTCCTCCGTTCAACCGTGAGAATTATAAATTTAAAAAAACAGACTATTTCCGCTTCCCTTTATACTCTGGAGTTGCTCCATCATCATCCTGGAAAGCATCTGCAAAACCTGATCGGGCATCCAAGGGCTCACACCACCACCCCGGACTGCCTGCATGTGCTTTGCAAGGAACGGATGCTGGCGGCAAACCCCATCGTCTCCACCCGCCTCCCACCCACCCTTTAAAACAAAAAAAAAAACTACGTCTCCCGACACGCTCAGAGGAACGAGCCAGCTGTTGAGGATGGCGCCTGCGCAATGCTGCGGAACCCGCTTCGTAGTACCACACCCCCGCGGAGGGAGGGAGAGAAGCCCGCCCATCTGAAACCTCCCCAGCAGAGGAGGAGGAGGAGGAGGAGGGGGGCGGTGAGAGGGTGGGCTTTTCCTTTCTTTTTTTTTCCTCCTTTCTGCTTTTACATGCAGGCGCCCAGAATGGAGTAAGCGAGATCCGCGGAGCGAAGGGGAGAAAGAGTTTCGGGCTGGAGGAGGAGGGAGAGGGAGGCAGGCAGGCAGGCAAGCCAGGCAGCCGAGCAAGCGGTGGTTCTTTCTCAAGGCAGGACCTCGTCGGAGGAAGCCAGAGAAAGCGGCGCAAGAATGCCCTAAGGGCAGGGGGTTGGTGCCGCGCTGCCGCCGCCGCCGCCGTCGGTGAAGACGAAGCGCCAAGTGCCTCTGGAAGCTGCCCGTCGCCCGCTGCCCCGCGTCCCGACCGAGCTTGTCAATGGAGCTGGAGAATATAGTGGCCAACACGGTTTTGCTCAAAGCCAGAGAAGGTAAGCTCGCTCGGCGCCAAGCATCTCTCTCTCTCCCTGCACACACACCCTCCCTTTGCCCTGTCGCATTTCGACCTGTGCGGAGCGATGCCAAGCGGCGGAGGCGGGAAGGGGATGGGTGCATCCTCCGGGCTTCAGCGTGTGCGGTTGATCCCTTCGTTCTGGAGCCCAGCTTTTTTTGAGTGTGTGTTTGTGTGTGTGTGTGTGTGAACGCGGTGCTTCCAGCCCGGGCTCTTTGCTTGCTCGTTCTGCATAAGCCGGGTTGGGGAGAAACGGTTCCCTTCTTGCCCCCCCTCCCCAGCCCAACTCCCCATCTCTTTCACTCTCGCCCCGCAAACGTTTTGCGCCCTGGATTCATTGTGTTTGGCGGCGGCGAAGGCTCGCTTTCCACGGGTGGAAGCACGTTCTGGCAATCCGAATAGTTCGGAAGCTCGCTCGGGGTCGGCTCAATTGGCACGAGGGGTGTGTGTGTGTGTGTGTGTGTGTGGCCAAAAAAAGAGGGGGGGGACCACGAGCTCTCAGGAACTCGGAGGGGTCTTCTCGCATTTTAAACCAATGTCATTAAACACGTCACTGAAACTGGCGGAGGAGAAAGGGGGCGAGAGCGGTTCAAACGTAGCGAGGGCGGAAGGCAATTACTGGACCTTGCAAACTGCACATGAAAAAACCTAACCGCCTCGCCCCCCCCCCCCGCGCTCTCCGTGCACGATGAAGCACCGGTTAAAGAAGGGGGGACATATTATGATTTTTTTTCTTTGCATCAGATCCTGGAGTTTGGTGCTGTGCACGCGCATTTGCAAAATAGAACATATTTGGAGGGGTGGGGTGGGGGGTAAGAGGGAGCCACGACCTGGCTGCCAGCCCTGAGCTATTAGCAGAATTACGGCCATTCCGAACTTCATCCGTGTTCACGAGCGATCCGGAATCCGTTTTTACAAGACTTGGTCGCCTGGGTGAGGAACAAGGGTGCCTCTACTTCGGTGACTTGAATGCCTTCCGCATTTCCATTCTTCCTTTCCTTCCTTCCTGCCTCTATCCTGAACCCTCTCCGAGGAGAACGGGGGGGGGGGGCTTTTTCAGAAAGGTGATAAAGCTCTTAGCTCTTGAGCGCGCAGCTTGCAGTCTTTGGAGGGGAGGTTTCATTCACCGCATTTGATGAATGAAAAAGAACAGTCTCCTAGCTGGCCTCGCAGAGGGTCCTATAATCTCTTGGAGCTCTGCTTGGATGTCTTGGATTTAGCAAATGCTAAGGGAGGGTTTCTTATCTGGGAAATTGGGGGGGGGCTGGGGTGAGCAATTGCTTCTGCTTCCAGGAAAAGCCTTCCAAAATCCTTTTGAGGCATTTCTTTCCCCCTTGTGCCATATCCACACGCTGTCTTTTAATCAAGGGGTGGGTGGGGTACTTAAAGTCAGCATCTCTCTCTTTTTACCTTTCCTTAGCAAAGTGTTTAAGAAAAACAACACACCAACCTACCTGTTTAAAAATACAGGTGATGGTCACCTAATGATTGAAGATTCTGGTCTAAATTGTGCAAGGTGAATAGGAAAGATTGAATGAAGGGAGCCTTTTAAGAGTTACTGAAATAGTAGTAGAATTAATACAACTTATATACATTCGAGAAAACCTCTTTTGGTGTTTATGCGGCTGTGTCTCCTAGAGACCCTATCTAATAATCAAAAAATAATTGATCAACCAGTGGACACAGTCCTTATGTATACCCAGAAGATACCTATGAAATTAATTCTTGGGTATAAAAACAAGAAAAGGTTAGTTCATATGCCAAGGGAGAAAGGTAGGAGAATAATTTGCTTTACTTGAGAAGAGAATCTGATAACTGTTTCCTACCAGATCTTCACCTCTTATGCATGTTGATTAAAGCTTTCGGTCCAATGTGTCTATATACTTGAATTGAGGATTAAAAATAAAGGGGTCTCATCTCAGCCCCAGTGGATCGCTAGAATCAGGCCATAGCATTTCTAAGCGAGGAAGGAAATCTAGTTGCTGACTGAATGCTAAGAGAGAAAAAGTGATCACAGAACATCTGTGAGGAGCCACCTTGTGGCAGGAGATAAATTAGGCATTTTATGGCTTGACAAAAACTTCCAAACCTTATTACCAGTATGTAAGATGTGTTTCTCTGTGGAATAAATATATGCCTATTAGATGGTTGAGGATATAAATATTTCTTTCTTTACATTCATATAAAGGAATATAAAGAAATCAATGAATGCCTTTAATTTGTGCTTTAAGTAACTCATACAGACTTTTTATCTGTTTCTTCATTTGCTGAGCACTAGATCAAGATTTTTCATTTTTTTTCAGATTGCAAAATCTGCTATTTAAAAAAAAATCCCAGATCCACCTCCGCAGATCAGATAGCAGTGTTTTAATGAAATTGGTCCATTCAAGTCATTTCCTTCCTTCTTCCTTCCTTCCTTCCTTCCTTCCTTCCTTCCTTCCTTCCTTCCTTCCTTCCTTCCTTCCTTCCGTCCGTCCGTCCGTCCCTTAGTCTAGGATTCTCTAGAACACAGTTCGAAAAACCTGTGCTAGACAATGTGTGAAGTGAAGCTTACAAACTATGGGTTGTTAGGTTATCTGTTCTAATAGAACTTCAAGAATGATTCACCCAGTATATTATGGTTTCTTAAAACATGCTGTTTGGACAAACCTTATGCTTGAGACATTATTCACGCGTTCTGTCATGCTTTTCTTCTATGGGGCTGTGTAGTGAAAAAGCAATGTCTGAATTGGCTCTTGTTGTCTGTACTGATGGTGTATTTTGACTGTCTCATGACTTGTCAAACCGTCTTCAGAGATTACACATTTCTTTGATTCTCTTTTATATTACTTCATTTACACAAGGTTTCTGGGCTCTGCGGATGCAGTCTTGGATATTACCTTTTTATGGATATAAGTATTAGTGCATTCATTGCAAAGGAAGATTGCCATGAGTGCGTGGAACAGAACTTGATATATGTAGTGATGAGTGGGTACACTTTATCTTGTTCTATTATTTCATTTATACAAAACTATACCTATGACAAACGTTCATAGGGTTTCTGTGCCAAGCTGTCTAGAATATAATGAACGGCCATTTTTTCCACTTTCAGGAAAGGAGTCATGATTTACTCCTCACTTGATCTTTTTAATCTGAATTATCTTTTTTTTTTTTACCATGTTTAATTTCATTTTTTTTTTTGATTGGTAGTTGTTCCAAGAGCTCTATGTATAGAAATGTAGGATGGAAACATATCAATAAACTTTTCATTCCATAAGGAATAGTTGAAGATAATTGGAAATTCAATCCGAGATGAGCTTCACTGACAGAGACTCTCTTAGTCTTACGGGATTAGAACATTGTAGTGGATTATAATTTAACATATCTGAAAGGTAACGAGAAGAACGATGGATTCAATGGTTGCAGTACACTTCTATTTTTAAAGGATAGATCTTTCATTTTATAGCTGATTTCCCAATGAATTTCATATCAATTCAAGACATAGGAGATACGTGTGTGTGTGTGTGTGTGTGTGTGTATGTGTATGTCTCACTCGCCATCTTCAGGCTGGGTTTGAAGTTGAAGATAGCGAGTGAGACCTCGCTGAAACGTTGCCAAGACAATCTCAATCTTACACGGGAAAAGACCCCGAATACAACAAGACCAGCATACCTACACCCGTGAAA